CCCCCCCCCAATAAAAAAATTTTATCCTATAGTTATACTTATGAGTTATGACTTTATAAGTGTAGATACAAGTAAAATTAAATACCTATAAGACACTATAAGATACAAACATTATCTGTGTCCTAGTTTTTAGCCCTGGGACCACTAACCAGGTAATTTTTCCCACAATAAGGCAAAGGAAATGTCAGATCAGTTAAGTTCAAGCAAACAGCAATATTGTAAAATACTATACCTACATAATATAATATTATAGTAAATATATACATAGTAAATTATATTATACCTTCAGAATCAGAGTTTATCATAACTTTTTTTTTTCGTTGTTTTCTGGTTTTTGCAGTCTCCTCAGACGAGGAAAGGTCTGATTTAGATTTGGCAACTATGCATTTTTTTTGGGCAACTTGAAAGTCATCTAGAATCACATTAAATTAAAATAAATTACATACCTAACATAATTTTATAATAGAGTAGATAATTCAATATTAATATATTTAACTCACCAATATTATAAGCCAAAGTCCGTGCTTTAAATAAATTGAATGTTTTCTTTTTGGGCTTAATTCTATTATTTACGGCATTTTTTAGATCACTTTTTTTTTTTGTGTTCGGCCAGGCGCAATAGCCCTTTTTAACACACCAATGCTCGGGTACAACTTCAACGGTATCGTCTTGCATAAAATGAACCACTGACCACGTCATGGTGTTTTTTTTTTTTAGTAGTAAAAATAATATATAATATTATGATGTTGAATACTTGAATGATCTAACACGATACAAACACGATCAGTTTTCACCACCACAGCAAAATCACGGTTGAAATTTAAATATTGAATACACTAACTAATAAGTATTATGCACATGAAAAAAGATGCAACGGAAATGTCGGAAATAATTATTAGCAGTTAGCACGAATGTCGTAATCGACGGGCAACAGAGTAAACAATAAACGGCAAAACAAGAACAACTTACTAATAAGAAACTGCAATGATGTAAATATAAATATCGTCGTCGCCACCGGCTGGCCAGGCCGCAGACTATCGATAAACGTATGGAATTCCCAATAATATTGTACTATCATGCACGTCGTCTTTATAATATTATCATTATATTTTAGATTTAGACCTCTCCATTCGTCAGTTTGCCACGTTATAAAATACAGACTGAAATAAAAATAAGCGCTTCGTCGAAATAATAACTACCCGAAAATACGCCGGGTATACCAATTACCAATATAATTGTATAATATTATTATCTATACATGTCAAGACTGTCGTCAACAGACAACAGTCAATTCTGCCTACACTATTTTTTAACAAAAATAATAATAATAATTATTATTATTATTAAATAATGTCATTATAAATATGTATACAGCACAAAAGAATAAACGCATACTAATATATTGTGTATTAATTAACATTCATGCATATTATAGTTTAATATCTCGATTCTCGACGTACCTGGTAGGTACCTAGCAATAAAATATATGTACCTACTATTGTACGTCATTGATACTTACTCGTACAAAAATGCAAACCTTGGTAATTTTTTAGTAATACAATATATAATAGCTGGGCATTTACTTTATGCTTAAAAGTGGTAAAGGTGTGAAAGGAATAATGCAGTGGCTTATTCATAGATTATAGATAGTTTATTCAAAGTATAGTCCAATA